ACAACTGATAACGATATCTCTAAATTTCCAGATTGCTTTCGACATTTCCTCCACTTGATATTTTATTTTCAATTGGCAACTTCAAAGTTGATGAAAATTTCCTCTATTCTATCGATTTTAAATCAATTTAGTTTTGCTGTACTGCTGCTAGTTACAAATGGAATAATTATTTCGTTGTTATAATTACTTTTGGTTTAATTTACCCTATTTATTTAGAAGAATGAATAAATTAAAGGCATTAAGCCAGCTTATTGAACCAAATCATTTAAAATATATCACCCTTAAACAAACTTATTCATTTATTAATGGATTATCATTCCATATTTCTGCTAGATATTTCTTTAAAAAGAAAAAAGCAAATTTTTTTAGGCATTGATGAAACATTCGGATGTGCTTGATGTGAATACGTTGTATTCTAATGATCTGAACATGATATGTAATAATTATGGTATCGAAGCATGTGGTCGAGCTTTAGTAAAAGTTAGTAGATTAATGATTAGTTGATAAGTAATTGTTGTAACTAATAATTATTCTTGCCAAATATTTTATATCAAATTTTTTTATCCGTGTAATGGATACTGGAAAGAAAACTTATGGAATACAGATTAACATTATACGTTTTTTAAACGTATAATGTTAATCTGTATTTTTTTTTATTCACTTCATTCTCTTATGTCTCATTTTATTAATATTACAATGAAGAGGAATATATGATTTGTTGAAGATTAACGCTGTGGTTTTTTAAAATTTTATTAAAAGATTAACACTGTGAAGTTCAAATTTTAATCAAAAGTGATTGGATATAAGGCAGGAACAGCGTAGCTAGTGAGATGATGTAGGAGGAGGAAGACGGAAAACAGTGCATTTTGTGAATGTATTAAGTTGTTCCTAGTTTGTAGTGTAGCATTATCCTATTGTTATTTTTTGAAGATTTTATCATGAACTAAAGAAATTTGAATATAATGTTTGATTATTTCAGGAAATAATTCGTGTTTTTACACCGTATGGAATCGATGTAAATTGGCGACATTTAACACTTGCTGCTGATTACATGACTTTTACGGGGAGAATTCAACCGTTTAGCCGTGGTGCAATGAGTTTAAGTGCTTCACCGCTTCAGCGAATGACGTTCGAAACAACAATCGCATTCATGCGTGATGCTCTTATAAATGGTTGGATATCGTACTTGTGTTCCAAATGAATTTCTTCAACTTTTGATACTTAGTTCTTGAAAGGCTGCAATGAATAAGTATGATTGTTGAACTCGTAAATGCCAGTTTCAGCAATGAGGAATACTCAGCTAAAAAATGGGAAGCAGTAGGTTTTTGAAAATCAATTTCAATTTGTAAAGATCGAATATTTCAGGGGACGATGATCATTTAATGTCTCCATCATCGAGATTAGTGATTGGTGGATTATTACGTGGTGGTACTGGTATTTTTGATGTTATGTTACCTAAACTTAATATTTTAACTGCTTGTAATAAATCTTAACAGCTCTTCGAATTTCTAAAGCGTTCTGGGAATTGTTTCTTATATAATTTAAGGTTTTGTCTTTTTATAGTCCGATTCATCTTTTCATGTGAAAGATGAAATCTACAGCCTTCTCTTTGTCAAGAGCATTATTTTTCTTCCATGAGAATGGAACTTAATCTGGATTTTTTGAAACTTCCAATTTATTTGGAGTCATCTCGGGTATTTCTGTTCATAAACGGATCAGGAAGATTTCTTCTGTGCAATTTTCTTAAAGTTGAAATGGTAGTGTTTTTCTGGTTTTTACGGTTTCACTGTTGAGGGCGTTCATTTCATACTTCTTTGTAATGCGTTTATAAACACTGTGCTTAGGCTTAACCTTGTACTTCTGGAGTCTTCAATATGACTGTGTATGCTTTCTTCTTTCACTTATTTTCAACACACATTTGTGAGATTAATATTGTGTAGGAGCAATTTTTATGTGGAAAAGTTCACGCATTTGTTATTTTTGATATGAAAAAAATATATCTATTGAGCTATTCAATGAAAATTGCCGTTTAAAGATCAGTATCGTGAAACCATTAGAAGTGTTCCCACTTATTTGAGAATTTTAAGAATAAAAATTCTGTTACGTTTTAATCATCTGTTCTAATTGTTTCCCTATTACCAGTTGGTTTTGAATTCTACTTTAAATTAGTTCACCATGGAAGGGAATTCCTCTGAAATAAGTGGAACTGCGTTTGATGACATAGTTCTTTCAATTTATACTGAATTGTGTTGAATAGTTCCAGTGAATATATTGTTTTGATTATATGAAGTGATACAGGAAATAATCAAATAAAACAAAACGTAAGCCTTTTATCGAATTTGTTTATAGTAACTTATGTAAAGATGAAAATAAAAGGATGTAAAGAGAAATAATGAATTCGAATTCTAAAAGAACACAAGACTGCTGATTGAATTTTGTAGTTTTTCCCATTGCTGGAAATTAAGAGCGACTTAAAGTCGATTTTGTGCTATAGTCAAATAAGGATAGAGGACTGTATGAAAAATTCCTAAAAGTTACAGTTCTCTAAATTGATGATTGTTAAGTGTTGTTCTATACATTTTTTTCCTTTTTTTCTCCTAAGTAAATCGCAAATATTGATAATTATGGGTTCAACTAATCATTGATTTGTCATATTAGGACTATTAAGTAACGTGTTTTAAAAATATAATATGGTATCTGTCAGTAGTTATGAGATGGTAAAGTAAAGCAATCAACATTAGCTGCATATTATGGTGCGGATTTGATGCGTCAATTTCCTGCGAGCATTCTTCCTTTACTTATTTATAGAACCACTTTATCAGCTCCTCTCACACTTTTCTCGAACAGCTGCATACATCATTACTCTATCACGTAGATACTAGATGCAGCGTTATTACCGCACCGAAATATTGGTCATCTGTTGAGGTTATACCACGTCAAAGTATTAAAGAATATCTCACATAGAAAGTAAACCACGTCAAAGTATTAAAGAATATCTCGCATAGAAAGTAAACCACGTCAAAGTATTAAAGAATATCTCGCATAGAAAGTAAACCACGTCAAAGTATTAAAGAATATCTCGCATAGAAAGTAAACCACGTCAAAGTATTAAAGAATATCTCGCATAGAAAGTAAACCACGTCAAAGTATTAAAGAATATCTCGCATAGAAAGTAAACCACGTCAAAGTATTAAAGAATATCTCGCATAGAAAGTAAACCACGTCAAAGTATTAAAGAATATCTCGCATAGAAAGTAAACCACGTCAAAGTATTAAAGAATATCTCGCATAGAGGGAGAAATCCTTAGCCTTCCTACTAATGAAAATGTCATGCAAATTTCATTGTTTTAAAAATCCTGAAAATGCAAAAAACTGCATAACAAAGCCCTAACGCAAAGTTTTTCACTATCAGAAATGTTCTTGAATTTAGAATTTTACCACTGTACACAAGGAACACTTTACAAATTTCTTGCATAGAGAAACTATCAGTTTAATTTTATTATTCTTCCGTATTTATCAATCCGGTGTCCGATATTTTCCTCGTTAAACAAGAATCTCTCCATCTAACAAATGACGTGTGTCAGTATCTGAACTTGTAATATTAACAGAACTCTATCCAGTCCTGACAGTAATCACAAGTAATTATGTAACTTTATAAATTTTGTTTTTTTTTTAGTTCCTTGCCTTATGCTTTTAATTATTTATTTATATATTTATTGTTTCATCTGTTTCTCCTATTTCGTTTGCTTATTTTCTCAGTTTGTTCTTATATCCACTTAATATTATTTGCTGAGAATTACATACACATATCATAGAAACAATTGTCTCGAGGCCTCTATTTCTATTAAACCGACCTCTGACGCTGAGATTTTATTGGACGGGTTCTCGTTACTTTTATATAACTAGAATTGGGAATTATTCTGACAGATTAGGTTGGGAAATAGTGTTAAGTGAGACCATATTCTTTTAGCAAGGACGTGAGAAGTGATGACTTCTTTCTCGAGTCCCGATAATATGAGCAGGAAAAGGATCAGTACTGTAACAAGAAAATCTTATGGTCATCCCACTATTTTATGATAGGTTCTCTTCGTTTAATGATTCATTTGCACTAATTTAGTTTTGTCCACACAAATCGACTTGTCACGTTAGAGTGTATGTGACAATAACTTTTGTTAGATCTTCACGAAGTACAGAAATATTCATTTTAAAAAAGTTGAGGGAAATCTTGCAGCCTGTAGTTTCTGGAATGATCCTTCCAAAATTTTATTTTCTGCACGTATCCACAGTTTCAGCAGGGATTCTTCCTAATTTAGGATATTTGTTTGGCGTTTCCACTAAAGTATTATAGGTTTTGAGAGGAATACGTATTGTCATGCAACTGTTCTTTATTATTTTCTGCGTTACGTGATTACGTCAGTTTTAGAGTCAGTTTTCAGTTTGTTTCAGTACATCGCAATGACGTCATCTTCGTCTTCGTAGTTTCGGTAGTTACTAGGATGATTATTTTTTATAGTGTCTTCCCTCACCCAGACTTTTTTATTTCTCTTCCAAAACTCGTTCTCAATTTAATTTTGGACTCTGGTCATTAATCTCTAAAATAATTTGTGATTTAGATAAATCAACACATCAGCTTCTCGAAGATGAACAAAGATCGAGGCGAGACAAAATCGGTATAACTTTTCTTAATTAATCAATTTTTTTAACCGTCTACGCATTTCATTACCGTTATCATCTATAGCAGATTGTTAGAGTAGCTTTAACTTCGATTCCTGTGTTCTATTGGATGTTGTGTCCCTCTTCTGTTCTCTCAGTCTTTCATATCAAGTAGTTAATTACTGCTAGGTTTTTTTGAATTAAATGTTTTCGTTATCAGATTTTAGTACAGTTCATTTTCCTCTATTGGTTACTATGCCTTTTGATCTGAAATTTTATTTTTATGTTCATATACTTTAATCCTTCTAGAAGTTCTTCCGTTATTTCAGTATAGGAATGGTCGAGAAATGAAGCTTTTTCCGTCATCGTTAGATAGTCGTTCTTCCACGCTTTTCATGAGGAGATTCCTTTTTATTATAGTGTCAGATATCATCAAAAAACGCCTGCTTATTCCAACTTCGGCCTTTAAAGACATCATAATTGACGGCAAGTGATAGTTGACTTTCCTTATCTACTATTTTTTCCGTATGAACATGGTTATACTTTTACTCTAGAATTATGAATTATTTAAATTAACTTACTTGATAAATGAAGTCTGTAAATTTGAAATTGAGATTATAAGTTTACATTTGAAGTGCTTTAACAAAGTTTGAATTTAATGTTAACAACTAAAGTTTTAAAATGTTATTGAAGGCCTGAAATGTTGCATCGTCACTGAGGATACAGAGCTAGGCAAGAAATTATCTGCACTTCTTTATGCTGTCTCGGAAGCCATTGAAAAGCATTATGTAAGTTAACTAATATTGCTAATATTAAAATACTGTCCTTATGTTTGCTGAGGACATTTTGAAGTCTTACAAGAATCGTGCGTAGTTCCAGTTAGCAAGAGTACACCTTCAATTTACAAGCTAAAATATTGTATAAAGTATGTAAAAAATATTCTATAAAGTACGTTTTTCAACTTATTTCTTTAATATATCTGAATATGAGATATTTGTTTTAGCTACATGATTTCTTTATTTTAATTTCAACTGATGAAGCAGATAACATGGATGAAGTGGTTGAAGCATACACTCTTACTTTTACTTATACTGATGGCGGTAGATTGCTTTTTCGTAGGTAAGTTAAAATTGGTTCATCTCTTAATTTCACTGATTTTTCTCCTCAAAAATTATCCTAAATAACCATTTAGACAGTGTTTCCCACAACTTCTAAAAAATGACCAGATGGTTATATACATCACCAGATGGCTTTGGAAATCTTTTTATTGATTTCTATCGTACCATCCTTCTTGCCGGTCAAATAACTAGAAAGCAACTTTTCAAACATTTCTGAAAATGTTTAGAAAATTCATGAAAATTGCAAGAATCCATGATTTTTGTTTTACTTATTTCATAAAGTTTTAGAAACCGATATTCAGAAATGATGTAAATGATGTATTAGTCATATCATATTATTTACATTGCTATCTTTGCCAAAATTCGTGGTATTCTAGTTATTACAGTAATTGTAGTCCATCGCACGAAATTGCGCTTTCATGTGAAAATGTCACTGAATTGCGAAAGGAAGTCATTGCCCTACTACACCGCTTAAATGTTCTTATGAATATACTATCGCCAGTTCCGCAGAGCGCTTTTCCGTATTTCAAGCTTACCTATTATACAAGTTTGTTGTTTTGTAATATTCAGTATTGAGTATTTTAATTTCATTGAAGTTACATTTCAAAGCTCATGATCAGTAACTTTTATATTCAAGAGTTCCATATATTTTTGTGTTTAATCTGACAAGAAGCTATTCTGACGGCCCTCATGAGTTTAACGACGGTAATTTCAATTACCGTATGCTCTACCATTGCTATTGGTATAACAAAATTAACTTGTTAGGAGGAACTTATAATCTCAGTTGGTTGGTTTAACTGCTAAGAAATGAAATCTATATTCACATATTTTGAAACTTTATGTTTTTCTCAATTTACAAATTTCAGGCACTCCACATAGTTATGAACCAGCCGGTTTTAAGCCGTCATCAACTACATATCGCTTCAAAAATATGACTTTCATTTCAAAAATATCAGCTGGCACTTTCAGTACAAAATTTCAGAGGTAGATGTTCTTTACCAAAGATGCAGGTGATGTTAGACGGAACCGAAGTTTTATTTGAAAATAACTTTATTGAAACTGATTCCGCTCATGATTTTTGAATTGCAGAAGATGGACTGTTTGCTCATTATCTTATATTTTTTTTTTGAAAAGACATTATGGTTATTATTTCGGCTGATGTGTTTTTAGGAATGTATCTCACTTCGTTTCACAATTGCTTCTTAATATAAACTTTGAAAATGTGAGATTAATTAAGAGAGGAAGTCAGTTTAAGAGAATTTCTTCTTTTTCTAGTTGCTCTGTGTGTCTGGAGTCCGTTTTCTTTGGGAGTGCAAATGAACAGTATGAACAGAATGCTTCAAGGATTGACAAGGATGAACCACAAGTAAGTTCTTAGAAAATCGGGTCATATATCCCTTCTGCAATGAAAATTAAATCTTTTGCAAAATCTCATCGATAATGAATGTTAGTCATTGCTAGTGCTTGTATTTTGTATTCAAGTACTGTATACTAACACCACGATTTCCAGGAATGTTTTCATCACTAACTTTAAACTTATTAATGGAAACAGTAGAGAAAGGATTTCTATATGTCAGAATAAATCTTGGACCACGTTTTTATTCGTCACAGTGTTCTTTTACCGACTAGCGTATTTTTCTAGTGATTACGTATTGAAATGCGAAGTTTATAATATTATCTAAGGAACCCCATTCATTCTAAGCGCTAGTTTTGTTATTAGTAAATTTGGATGACTGAAGGCAAGTGATTCTGTTCAGTAGAAAAAGAAGTTAATGTTTCTTGAAATATTTTAAGTGTTTCCGATCAGAGAGGTGTGTTTCATTTTCTCCAACATCAAAAGAATTCACTAAACTCATAAGATATGTAATTTATCCATCTACTTACAATTTTTGGGAGATGATAATATTATCATCTTGTTCGAAAACAGTGATTCCTCTAACTTAAATCAACTTTTGCAGATGCTGAAAGGAATAATCGGCGAAACTCCGAAGGGTAGACCGAAAAAAGACAGGCTGATTGTTTGTGCTTAATGACCATTTTTCCTTTAAGATTTGCTCATGGTTTTTACAAATTCTGACTTTTGTGACATAGTTTTAAATTTCAGAAGCCAAAGAAGATGAAGTATGATGGACAAACAAAAGAAAAGATGAATAAGGTAAATATTAAAGCTCTCCCTCCCCATTCAGGAGCTCGCCCTTCCCTATCCAATAATTTTTTTTTTTTCGAATTAGAAACAATGCTTAAATATTTGTATTAAATATTTAGTTGGATATTTAAATATATGATGATCAATGTTATTCCAGCAAATCGTAGAAGATGAAGATAATGGACCAGAGTTAATGAATGTGCGTGTTTCTTCACAGTACAAACAAATGGAAGCTAAAGATTACTTTTCACAACAAAGCAGTATTGAAATTATTGAATCGATGCGAGCCTCGTTGTTCGAAGATAATTCTCCAAACGGTTTATTATGATTTAATCATCGCATATGTATGAGAACGATATTCTTATAAAAATGTTACTTGTGCAGCGCATAAGGTTTGTCTGAACATGAAGGAAATCTTTTTTTTTTATTGTCGAGATATTCTTAATGACTAAATATGATGATTGATTTTGTTTTTATTACAGAACCTTCTGAAACAGAGAAAATCATTTTAAGCAGTGTAGAAGCAGTCGCCAGCACAGCAGATTTGCAGAAGAGTGGTTTTATTCTCCAACATTCGGGAGGTAGTTTGCCTTTCTTAGATTTCTGGTTTGAGTATGATGTTTACAATATGAATTTGTTATTATCAGTTGCTATTTTCGTCCCTTACTTTTTATTTTGGCCAAGTCATATCTTGAATTTTGTTCTCAGTGTTTATTGATTTCTCACCGATGTTGTCAATTAGCAAATAAACACTTAGTTTAAGCGTGGCGGAAAACTTTTTGCATATGTCCCGATTTTACTCTAAGTAGAATTTCGATATTTTTGATAAAATGAATTGGCAAGGTAAAAGGATATAGAATTTACCGAAATTTAGGGCAAATGAAATGCCGCAGTGTATAAGGAATACGGAAATTTGTTTTTTTTTTTAATTTTTTTATTTTCTCCTGCTTTCGCGCTTTTTGTTCTTATTTATTTTGTTTTATGTATAGACAGCGAAGACGTCCCAGAAAGTTCGGGACAGTTCGCAACGTTCGGTTCCCCGAGTGATCCTTACATAAATTCACCGCATATGGATTCTACTTTTTGTAAGTTGATAGAAAAGACTTTGTTGAATGTCTATTTTACATTCCCATTTGATCCCCTCATTAAAGCACTGCACCTTTGCGTGGTTGTCTGGCACATAAAGCTTCACATTTTTTGAGTTTTTAGAAAATCTTAGCACTCTTATTCACTATATTCATTTATTCTTTATCAACACTTTGGAATTTGCAAAATTTTAGCATACTCTTACCTGTGTGTCTTTCAAATTTAGCTTTACCGACGGTCGCGGAACTTGTTAATCGTGGACCCGTTCTTAAGAAAGGCTCAACCACCGGAAGCTCGTCGTCTGGAAACAACGTCACTGCCAAACCAGATGTAGCAGGGTAAGCCAATGTGTCCAGGTTCTTTGATCTCTTTCAACAACATTCCGAGTAAAAAATCGATTTCAGAGAATTGTTCACTGAACACAGTTCGAGTGCTGAGGGAACGCCGAGTGCCGAACCAAAGACAAAGAAAATGAAAATTAGTCGTTCAAAACTTGATTATCATATGGTAATTTATTTCAAATTCATAATTTAAATATTTACATTGACATTGGTATCCTACATCTTGTAGTTAGATATTTGATGCATTACTGTCACTGTCTCCCAATTTGTCTCATCTCTTGTGGGGTCACTAAAATTATTATGAAAGGCTTTGCCGTGATGATTTTTTGTAGAATAAACTGATGAAAAGGTGTGTAGCATAGGCAGACAAGAGAATAAGGCAAAAGTTAAGGATAAGAATATAAAGTTAAAGCAAATGAATTTTTCGCAAACTATTCAAGACACCAACCAGATTTAGACCCAGCAGGAATTTGTGACAAATATCAGCACCAGAATTTCTTTTTCAAAGTTTTATATATATATATATATATATATATTACATGTTGATAAAAATACTAATAGTGTGAAAATTAGAATCCAAAATATCAGAAACGAAGTTTTTTGTCTTTTTTGTTTTTTTGAAACTTTTTTGTTCCTCTGTAATCAATTAATCAATTAAAGTCTGGCTTAATTCCTTTCTGTCCTTTTTGCAGAGATAAATTTTGACAGAAAGATTTCTTTGGGAAGACAAACGATATGATAATAATTCACCTTTGAAGAGCCTGATTTACGAGAAGTACCTCGAAGTTGATTTGAAGGTTGAGGAATTGATTTCATCTAAATTATTAGTCAATTTCGTTTAATGAAGAATTTTGGTGTTTCTGTCATTCGTTTTACCATTTTTACTTCTCTTCCTTGAAGTTCTCGTATCTCTTGTGGGTTGTATTTCTGACTTCTCGAAATACCACACGTTAACGAAAGAGATGTTTTATTCAAATTTAAAGGATACATAAAGCAAACTTTGCATGTGGGAGGACGAGACATCAATATGATGGCTCAAATTTTGTAATAATAAGGACACTTTGACTTACATTAACTAGTATATAACCCTTATCTACCTTAAAGTATTTATTTCATATGAATTTGTTCATATGTTCAGTTTTTGTTCAACACCTGTCTGTGTGAACATTTTGCTATGCATCGTTTCATCATTTGTTGTTTCATTTAATGACATTCAAAAGAACAAATGCTTCGTTTTTACTTATCCTTTTTCTTTTTTGTTGTTAGTTCGTCTTCTATCATGAAGTGGATTTTGTTGACTGATTTGAATTGCTTCATTAGTTATAAAAATAAAATTTTTCACTTAGCTTTTCAAGCTTGCACAAATTTGTTTCAAAGATTCAAGTTTTGGTACTTTTTGCGGACCTAATATTGTTATATATGTGAGGAAAATAGAATAATAGGAATGGAAAAATGATTGTTAGGGGAAGTGGAAATTTAAGATGAGGAAAAAGAAAGTAATTTTTATTACGAAACAGCTTTGATTTCTAATAATTTATTGAAGCATAAGGAATTGTCTACAAATTCTTTTAAAGATCTTTTGCATTTGTATGTTAGAGTCGTGAATTTATAAGCACTGTCACCATACTTCACAGATTGTTCTTAATAAACTAAACAAAATGGATTGCTAGATAACAATTTTGTAGTCTTTACAACAATTCATCGACTCGTTAGAAAGGCTGATATTAATAATTTAAAATTAATCTGGTAGGAATTTTATTCTGACAAAAATGACATTTCCAGATATTTTAGAGATTTTTGACAAAGTCTGACACTGTAGCATATAATTTTTGTTTTGGTCCCAACAAGATTTTAATTTATTAGCAATTGTTAATCTACGGTCCCATATCATATATGCCTTAAAAATCATGTTAATTCTGGACAGAAATCAGTTATCTGTTTATCGAAACTTTTAATATTTCGATTGCTAATTGAACGACTTACTTCGCTTCTTAGTTACATCCGTGTTGCCTTTTTTTTCTCTCTCTTTTTGGATCTTTTATGTGAGATACAGGGACTAGGAATGAAAATATCGTGGTGGAATGCACCTTACAATCAGGTACTCCATCTGTCATTGGTCTTTGCTGTGGTGCCATGGCTTTATAGCTATTTCAACGAACAACATCGAAAACAGTCATATTCAGTGGAACAGGCTGTAATGCTAGCATGGGAGAGAGTAATAACTCAGCCTACAGTGCTTTTTCGACGAGTGGTGATCGGGTTTGTTTTTATGTCTTTTGAATTACTAGAGCTTCTTGTTCCAAAATGCTTTAAAATATTATTCTGTATTTCGAATGTTTGTTCAAGATTTATTGAAAATAATTTTCACAATTATCAATTGTTCTATTTTCTACCATAGGTTTTTGAAGATTTCAGGATTAACTGCAACGTTGATATGGTTGTTACCGGGACGAGTCTATTAGAACGTCTAAATGGTACTTCCACTAATCGAAAGGACCATGAAGTTTCACATTTAGCATATTTTTTAATACTATTTTTGATTAATCTCTTAATACAGCAGCACTCTACCACTCTTTGTGAGTAATAATATAGTTGAAGCGCTAAGTCTCTTTCAGTTAAAATTGTTTATCTTCACATGTTCTGAGAAAATAAACATGTCGAATGAATAAAATATTCTTCCTGTGCTCATCATATTCATACTGAAAGGTTACAAAATTGGTGATTATCGGAACATGAAGTGACAAACCAATATTAAATTTTTAGTTTAAGTGGATTTGTTTTTAGGTGATCAAAAATGTTAATGATTTGTATGAATCTTTCGCTTACTTCTTTTCACGAGGAGCTGCTGCCGAAAGGTGACTTTTTATCGAAGTTTGGCGAGATTATTTGTTCAAGCTTTTGCTACTATTTTACTTTTATCAGTGAAACTTTCTGAATTTTCCATTTCACTCTTCTAGACACATATCAGATCCGAAAATGTTTCAAATACTTGCACAATTCGCGGGTGAACCTCGTCATCGACCTCATCATTACATCGGTGGGAATGCGGCTCTGATGGCCCAAAAGATAGCTACTTCTTTTCCGAGAACTACTGTAAGTTGTACACAGTTACATATTTGAATGTAATGAATATTATATAAAATAAAAGCTGTATAAAATAGTTGCTTTTGTTTAAAATGTGTCTTAACAGTTATCAACTTGTCTGAATAAGTTCGATAGGCAAAGAAACTTTTATTTGATTCCTGCTGCAAGTGTTTCAGACATACTTGGTTGGTCCTATTGGACCTCGAAGCCATGTCTTACTTCATCCATCAATAGTTCGTACGAATTCAACTCGCATTGTAAAGGATGAGTTACATGTCATTATAGAATACAAACAAGGTGAAATTCTTGATGAATATGTAGCACCAGCTTCATCACGTTTCATTACTTCGCACGATCAATATAGGTCGGTTCTTAAAAAATATGGCAAAATTTTGATTTATATACTAAATTATTTCTCAGCCAGATTTTAGAAAAGTGTTGGCTTCCTGAAATTCAACTCCTTTTTTGTTTGTTTTATTTTTGCAGTTGCGATTTTTTTGCTCTCAATATTTTATTATAATTCAGTGGCAGTGCTGTTGTGATTGAAATGTTTTTCAAAGCAATAAGTCAGTTTAATCCTGATCTGGTAATTTTAGCTGGTGTTCATCTCCTGCAAAATCAGGTGGGTTTGTTTTATTGTATTGGTTTTATCAAAAACTTTGGAGTTTTAGTAATACAATGACTTTGATGCTGAATTTTCTTCATGTTTCATGCACTTCTCATTTCTATTTAATGTATATTTGATCATTATAGAATAAGGAAATGCGGATGGAGAAACTTCGCTTGATTAAGCGAAGTTTGTTGCAAGTAAAACACAATATCCCTATTCATTTCCAACTTGGAAACATGGGCAATCCTGACCACGTTGCTGAAGTGCTTCATAGAGTTCGTTGGTTTTTCCTTAAGTTTAAAGTCCAGTTACGTTTTTACCAGAAGATTTATTTACTTACTCTTCTTTTTTATTTGCTCTTCAATTTCATTTTGTTAAGATTATTTAATTTTGTTCAGATTGTGCCTCACGTTGATTCGTTAGGTTTAAACGAACAAGAACTTGCATTTTTCTCTCATGTTGCTAATGGGCCATACACAGATCTTTATCCTGTTTTCCCTGGTGCAATACATGTGTACAAAGTGAGATGTTTTTGAGTTTTTGTAGAAATTTAGTATTTAATCAAGCATCTCTACAGTTCAGTCGGATTATATTGTTACATTTCATTAATACAAATCTATTAAATACATTTAACACTTGAAAATTCGTGTGAATTTTTCTTGAAGGTAGTCGAAATGTTGTATTGGCTGTTGACGAAGTTTGGACACGATAGTACTGATCCAGAATCAAAGAATTACCAATATAGGCTATCCAGAATACACTTTCATTCCTTAACCTTTCATCTAATGGTAGGTCGCGATAATTATCAGCTGCTACCATTCTATCAATGTTTGCTATGTTGCAGTATATGAAAGCTCTGTATTTTTCAAAATCTGCAAATCTAAAATGCTCAACTTTCCAGTTTAAATTAAAATCTGATTAAGTTAATAAATTGTAAATTAGCGTACTTGCTAATCTTTTAAAGGTTTATAAAGGGACGGACTGGTCGAATTTGGCTTCTGGTCTGGCGGCAGGTGCCAAGGTTGCAGCCCGTCAGTCCTGTAAAATTACAAATGACTTGAATACAGATAATTTGGAATTAAGAATATCAAAGGCTCATTTGCTTGACAAGGAAATTGGAAAGCGATATGTTTTCGAACCACAGAGGTATTTTTATCTCTGACTTTTAGTGAGGGACTGTAGGTTCAGAAGTTAGAGTTTTTAAAAGATTTTTTTTTTAAGATGCGAGTTAGCTATCCTTTGATTTATCTTTTTTGAAATCAGGCTAGCTTTGAATATTAACTGGAGATATTTTAAATGTAATTTTGAGTTTCAGACCTATAGCTTCATGGATGCGTAATGACGTTATATTTATTTATACACCTGCGCTCATATGCAAATTCCCAACCAGAACAGTCGGTGTTGATGATGCCGTCTCAGCTACTGGACTTATATTCTCGCAATTTTATCGATTTTCTACCTGGTAAATCGATATAATTATATGGCATAAACATTCGAAAGCTTGTAAAGAAATGCGTTTGAAACCATGACAATGCGTTTTTTTTTTTTTTTTTTTTTTGAGAAGCTATAAGTTAATGAAATGATTAATTCATTTTTGAAGCTTTTTTTTTCTTCTGGAATGTTTCTGTTATAATACAGCCAACATGTTCATACGTTTTTGAGTTTTGAAATTTCATAAAAGTTCTGCAAAGATTTCAATTTCTTAAGAAGTTTACATTACAAATATGTAGATTACTTGTTTTTTGAAACCAAATTCTATGTTCTGGAATTGTTTCTTTTTTATTTTTGAAGAATATTTTGTTTTAAATTTCAATTTCCCTTCCTAGTACGTCTGCGATGCATTTCATATTACTACTATCTTTTCTTTGCTGTGTACAGTATTCTCTAGTCATTACAATACTCGGTGATTCATTTCTACTTCCACGGGAGAAACTTCTGTTGTATGTAGCATATGTTTATAATTTTTAGCAACTTTGATAAAGTTTCATGATTTGATTGTCTTATTTTACAAATTATTGACGGTGAAGTCGCTAAAAATACTATTGAAGTAAGAATATTTGGCCCAAAAACTTACAGTCATCAAAAGTTTGATACATCGAGGATTCATTTTTGTGAGGTAATGCTGTATATCTCTGTGCATCTTTTTAATGATACTTTGAAGTAATTATTGTCGATACATCTCAAGAACTGCATTTTTATAGTTCTTGTGATACTGAGCAACAAGGTTTAGGTACAGCAAAAGCTTGTTGGGTAATTCTCATTGTATTTCAGATATTTGAAATGGCGTTCTTAAAGAAGCATAATTCCCTGTGTTTGTTAAAACAAGTTTGGCTTAGTGGTAGAGCTACTAGTAGCAACAGGGGCGGACCTGCTAAGTGGTTAGATGATGCTGTAACATATGCAGATATACAAACATCCTTTGTGGATCCATGCACTTCATTGCCGTATCCGGAAAAGGTAAATATTCAATTGACTGAGTTTGTCCCATATTGTTGGACCTTTTTGGCAATGATATGGGACGAGTGGTACCGAGTCTTTGGTTTGTTTAAATGGAATTCATATTTGCACTTTTTTTGTGTTACGTTCAGATCAATTATACAATATGCTGTTTAGTGTTATCCTAAACGTCAACACTTACTGACATATTCTTTTGCAAAAATCTTTGTGTACTTTCAGGAATTACACCGATTTTTAGAAAAAATACCGAAAATAAAGGGGAAGAATGACGATAAAATTGTTGTCAAAAGAAGTAGCAGTAAGAAACTTGATTTTAGTCATATACCTATCGAAGAACAAGTGGTTGTTTTATTTCCTGGTCAAGGGACTCAGTACGTCGGTATGGGTAAAAAAGTGAGCTATATTTTTGATGTTGAATCTTTAACGTAAAAAGTCGAAATGTTAACTGAAATCTCAATTCAGTACATTTAGGTAATGAACTGTGAAAGAGCAATTGAAATTTATAAGGAAGCATCAGAAATATTGCAATATGATTTGCTGGAACTGTGTCTGGAAGGTATGTCTGTATAATAGAGTCCTTACGTTCAATAATTTTATTTCTGTCAAAAGCTTTGTTATTTGACTGTAGAAAATTTTCGAAAAAGAAAGGACCAGCGAACTTTTCCAGTTCCATTTTTATTAGCAAATAATTTTCCTACATCGATTTAATGCTCTGGTTCCTTAAAATTTAATCTTTATGTTATTAAAAAAGATTATGCACTCATTTTTATGTCAAGCTTTAAAGCTGAATATGGTTTCAAATTAGATTTTAAATCAAATACTTCCATAAACAGGACCAAAATCAAAACTCGACCAGACAGTTTATGCTCAACCAGCTATTTTCGTCAGTTCGTTGGCTGCGTGGGAAAAAGCAAAGGCAGAAAATGAAACACTGAGTGTTCGTACGACTGACGTAGCGGGTTTCAGTGTTGGTGAATTTGCTGCACTTGTACTTTCTGAAGTACTTTCTTTTGAGGATGGTAAGTTTTGCTTTAATATTGGCATGAGGTTTTTGTATCCTTTATTATCTAATTTAGATGTATGCATCTTTCTTGCTGCACTATGTGAATACTGTTAAGTTTTATATTTTTATTCGTATTTTCATTTTCCCAGTTAGGTGAAAGGTTTCCCGATTTTTTTTTTTTGCTTTTTCAATATCATCGTTGGCTTCTTGTTCTAAAATAACAGTTTCTTTTTTTTAGTATTTGCAGTTTTAACATTTTGGTGCACACTGGAAACCACAACTTATTGAATGCACTACTTAGCATACCAAATGACTGAAGCTTTAAATAACAAAACGATTTAGTACAAACTTTATCAAACTTTGAATTTTTATACAGCTCTTCGGCTGGTAAAAATTCGCGCTGAGGCTATGCAGCAGTGTAGCTTGAGGTATCATTCCGGGATGATAACACTACGGGTAAATGCGGCTACAAGACTGGAGGATGCGTTAGAAGACGCCAAAGCTTACGCATGGTTTATTTATATTTTCTTTCCACACCACTGCACTGTTTATGCATACATATGGCATAACGCTGAAATGCATAGAGATTTTTTCATTTGGTTCAGATTTTAACTTTCTGAATGGTAAATTAAAAGCTATTAAAACTTCAAAATATTTCCCGAAAGAAACATGCAATGTTTAAAGCATCTAAATTTTAGCGAAAAAGATCAGCCGCCGTTATGTGAAGTAGCCAATTATTTGGTTTGCGGTGTGAAAGTCATTGGAGCATCGGAAAATTGCATTGATTTTCTGAGCAGTAATCAGGAGAAATATGTTTTTCAGGTATTTTTGTGCGAATAATCCGGACATAATAAATTTTTTAATTTTAATGGTAATAATCTTTTTTGTCTAAATATTGATATATTGCTTGTCATATTTTTTTCATTTTTCTTTGTGCATCTTTACCTTAACGTTTCCAGGTGGTCAAAAGATTGGAGGTAAATGGCGCATTTCACACCACTTTAATGAAAGATGCTGCTAACGCGTTGAAGAATGCTCTGAAAGGTTAGTTACAGTAATTAAAGTTTCAAATTTTTGTCGTTTTTTTTTTTTTTCAGTAACCTTCTAAAATTTTCTCGAAGAATTGTAATTGTGCTTAATTTCAGTTTGCTATAATTATATATCTTCTTGTACCTATTTTCGTTTCATATTTCAGATGTGAAAATTAACCAGCAGCCACGGGTGAATATTTATTCAAATTACACAGGTAAATTACATGTGTACAACGAAAAACAGATTCGTGAAGCGATCGTCAAGCAAGTTTGTTCACCGGTTAAATGGGAGCAGATCCAACAACTACTTCATGCAAAACACCAAGTAAATACTACATTACTTTGTTTTGCTTATATGCATTGTTAATTGTTGAATAAAGAGCAAATGTTTAATTGTGAGTTGTTCATGCTGCTTCTGGAAAATTTATTTTCTGGGGTAGGTCATTTAAGGATATTAGGCTTGCGGCCCACTAACAAATGATGTAACATACTTGGATTGCATTTCAGGATTTCAAGTTCCCAACATTCATGGAAGTAGGACCAGGAAAACAACTTGGCGCAATGCTTTTGAAAATAAGCAAGAAAGCTTACAAGAACTACGTAAGTTATCCAGTGTAGGTCCATCTTTTGGACCATATCTTTTGGACGTTTACTTCACAAGGATTTTTTCTGTAAGTTTGATAAAATTTTCAGAAAATTTCGAAAATTTGAATTTGTTTAAATATATTAGGGAAGAATTTTACTATAGCAAAATGAAATACTGAGCAATGAAAAGGTTATGCTCGGAATTGCTTGAGAAACGTCATTTGAATTCATGAGGTTTTCCGGATAAGATTTGTGCGATTGTGAAGACGAAAAAACCAACCATCTTCCATTATTAATTCGACTTTCAGTGGTTAGGTTAAGCAATTGCCGACAGGAATGAGGCAGCTGGTCAGTTATACCGAGATGATTGTACAGTTGTTCAAAGCTAAAAATTTTTTTGCGTTTGTAGTCTTAAAGTTGACTTGAAAACATATCAAACACACTCAAACTAAATCTCGGTTGCTAAAAAAAACAAACTTAAGCAGTAGTTTATTAGTAATTCATAGCTAAAAAAAACATGAAATGTTCTTAATAAGATGGTTATAAACTAAGAAACCTCCTCAGATTAAAATTGGGATTTTCTCCATATGCCCTGCTATAACCTTTTTTTCAGATTTTGGTTGGTTATTCTACCTTTTTGCAGTAATCGAATGAATCGATATGGATATGTTCACCTTGTAAAGCCAACGGTGATGAATTTGAGCATCATTTTAGCTGCAGCTTCTCCACAGCCACTCCGCGTGACTGGTCCGATACATTTGATCATATCCGCCAAGTCTCTTGAAATGTTTTTATGTTGTTCAGTGTTTAAAGATATTGATTCTTCATACGATTCCTAACATTTCAAACCCAATTTAGGGAGAAAGTTTTTTCGCAGCTCAGAAATTATCTGCTTTTTGTTTTTATGTTTAGACAAAACAGTCAACTTTTATCACCAAATTTCCAAAACAAATGAAACTCACCTGCAGAGCGTTCCCAGTCTATTCTGAATATTGTGCTGTTCACGATTAATAACAGCTGCGCTGAATGAATTGCTGCCCACTAACGACTGATTAATTTCATTTTGACATCTTGACATTGCCACTGGTTCATACCTGTACTTCGATTATGTAGTACTGTACCTGTTGATTATTGAAGGGTGTGGAGGAGTGAGTTCTTGAATATTATTTTATAAAAAAGTAAGTAGGAGTTTCTATCAACCAAACTTTCAGTTAGAAGGTGCAAATTAGTGGAAAACTTACTGAGTAAGACATGGTAAATTGTTGAAGAACTCTGAAATTAAAATTTATTTATGCATTCATAATATATTGTATGTGGGATGTACTGTAGGTCATATGGAACTCTGAAATTTGAATGTTAACGCTTTTCTGCATTGGTCTACACGTATTGATGTCCACCTAATTCGTTGTTTGTATAGTTCTATAATTTTTGAAAAGAAGTTGATCTCTTTAAGGAATAATACCATTTGATTTACAGGTCCAGGTTAGTTACACTTGCGACGGACTCTATATGAATAGATCTAAGTAATAAGTAAAAATTCGACACCAACATCCTCAAGTTTGACCAACAAACTTTTGATTGTCCATCAGTATCTGCCGATATGGAATTGCAACTTTGTTTATGGCAGTTACTTATTGGATACAATAACCTGTTAAATTCTGCTTTCCTCGCTTCAATGCGAAAAAAATGTGAAGCTGGATGCTGGTGCAAATTGGTTTTGTTCTTTGCTATGAAACATATAGGATTGTGAAGTGGTTAGTACGTGCGTCGGAAATTGAATACATTCAGGTCGGAAGTAGATTATTATATGTGAGGATATTTAAGAAAGTGAGGAGAATTTTAGGAACTATTGGAAAATGTAGAAATTTTTTTCTTTTGAAATTATGGGTGAAAACTGAAGAGTAGATAAATGAGCTTTATCCAAATTTTACTCGAGGATGAATGTTTAGAATTATCTAGTAAATATCTGTAGTTTTACACTATGTTAATTCTTTATCAATATCTTTGTTTATGTAACAAATTTAGGGGATGATCATTTCGTCCTTGTGAGAGATGAATAGATATTTCAGAATTGTTAGTTTGATCATATTGTTACAAATGAATGGATGAGAAATTCCCGAAGGAGAAATAATGCAGCTGAGACTATTGCTGTATAGTTGATATATTTCTATTCTACTCCTTCCTTTTCTCTTTTATGACTAAATTCATATATTTCACAATGCAAGAATAGCATCGTCATTATCCAGCATTTTCTTTCTTTGTCGGAAATTAATGAAAATTTTGCCTTTAAATTTTTTTTTATAAGTATTTGTCGAAGTTCACAATGTAAATTCGAGATTTTTAATTTGTAACATGGATGAGAGATTCAAAAGAAACATGAATGGAGAACAAACCTTCCTTTTGTTCAACACAAATGAAGTGTAAGCCGGCATATGTCCGTCGAATACTGGCACTGTGCTCGGATTTTTTCTCACATTCCTCCAAGCATTTATCTACTCGTTTATAAGCTCTGAATGTATTCAAATGAAAGGGAAGAATTGTACTGAAATGCACTAACATTATGTGATTTCAGCATTTTTCACTCCTAATTTTTGATAATTAATTCGGAAGCAAAAAAAATGAAAGAAAACCGTAGACTTACTCGCAAATACTATGAAATGAATTTTCAGTCACTCGCCGATTTTTTGACGCCTGAAACGATATTTAACTCATCGATTTTTAACAAATCTGGACAGAATCCAAAGTTCATTAAACTTTTAGCTTCAACAGAACTCAGTAATCATGAAATTGCAATACTTGTGAACCTTCTGTAATATATTAATATTCAGTTAAGAAATTTCCAGGGTTTTTCAAAAATCAGTTCTGAGCGTAGAATGAAACAAAAAATGAAGTCTACAGAATTTGCAAATATAATTTATAAATATGCTTCAGTCAAATGAACGTACATTAAATGGATATACAATGTGTACATGAAGTTTTTGGTACTTAAGTTATTTCACATTTGATAATCCAAATTTAATATTTTCCTTCACCCAGATACGATTATAATTTTTAGCAATAAGTTGAATTTTGGAAGATAAAAGGTAGAAACTTGTAAAAGTTGTGTCCAAGAAAGCTGTCCCTGATGGTCACTTCGACTGAATGGCGTACTTTCCATGATAAGTTGCATTTCACTAATGCATGGTTCCACACAATCACCATTAAAAAAACCTTCCGTACATATAGTACTAGTAATACCTGTAAAGTAATTCAAATTCACCGATGAAATGATAGGTTGCATTTATTGGAAAATAATATCTGTGCTTAAAAATTGCTTAACAATTATATAAATGCTTGCAAATATTCAAAGAATATTGTCATTATCAAAAAAATTAACTGATTTTATGATTTTTTTTTTTTAAATTAAAACAACCAAATTCTTACATGTAATTAAAATAATAAATGCTGATGTGTTGATCATTACAATGTCAACGTTACGCCATGCTGCAAACATCAGAGACCATTTTCCTGAATATATCAGAAAAATTGAAAAGAATATTAAGTTGAGAGTTTTTCTGAAAAAAGTTTAAATTCGTTGACAGCAATTCAGAAAATAACAACAAAAGTTTTACCAACAAAAATTTTGGAAAAGAAAAAGAGAAGCAAAAAAGAATAAGAGTAAAAAATCTGTTCAGGAAAATTCAAGAAACTGATCCTGATATTAATTGTCATTTCTTTTACTCAAAGAGAAATTTAAAGTTTGATTAGAGTGTAGTGTTTTTAGTTTTTGGATATATTTTCTCAAAATTAATGTTTCATCTTTATGTTTATATTGCAATGCCAACGACAATACCTTGCAATTAGTCAAATATAAGAACAATATTTGAATCTAAATTTGTCTGCACCTTATTCAATAACTTAGATTTAAATCACTTCTATTAAATCTGTGCTTTGCGCAAATATCAAAATATTCAAAGTCACAAGTAATATTACTGTGGATGAAATAAAAGGTAAATTTCAGTAGACTAGATTTTATTTAAAATCTACTGAAATTTACCTTGAAGTCATGTATATTAGCAGAAATAAGTGAAGTATTCAGTCAGATCATTGTCACATGAAGTATCCTTGATACTTACATATTTAAGCTAGTAAATGGATACCACTTTTTACAATAAGGTTCAACTTTTAATAAGTTAATTTATTTTTACTCTTGATAATTAGAGCAGTTGAGAACAGTGTGAGAACATTAACTTCCATACTTTCTAAAATGATGTACGGTTTTTCCATAAACCTATTAATCTTATACCTATTTGATGGCTGACACGACTAGTTTCTATTTTTAATTTCAGCAAGCACTATATGTAAGAACTTATCTAATCAAGATGTTTCAAAAACGCACAGAATTACTAATTCTCAATTGATTAAAACAAACCGATCAAAAAGTAAGTTAAAACGACAAAGAGTAAGAAATACCAATTATATTTTCATTATTTTCTTTTTTTAACAAATAATCCTACTAAAATGATAGAATGAAATTGAAATATCAAAATGTCCAAAATTAATAAAATTGCATACAATCAGTGAATGGGATTCACTGAAAAACATAATAATTTGCATTGGTTTGCAAAAAGCAGAAATTAAATTTTCAACAAAATGATCAATGAGAAAGGGTTGTTTCATCGAATGTTATTATTAAATACTTAAAGACAATTCAGTCTTTGAGGAATTGGAAGAGGAAATGAAAAATGGCAGTAGAAGTGTGATTTAGAAACCCAGATAAATTAGACAGATCACTTCTTAAGGGTAAGTGTACATTCAAAAATGATAAATGAAAACTTCAGTTTAGCAGAATCGAATATAAAACTTTCCCAAAATACTTTCTCGAAACTTGACATATATAATTCAGGAAACACAAATATTTTGCACATGTAGAAACTGTTACCTAATGGAGCTCATTTTATCATGACAATTAGAAGAAATTTAGAAAATGATGTTACAATTAGACACTCATCGAAAAAGATAAATTCAATGAATTCATATAATTGTTCACCAACTGTTACCAACAAAGTAATTAAATTCATGTCTTCAATTGACTAAAATTTGTGTTTATTAATATTCAGGATTCAAAAGTTAGTACAAACCTAAAAGAAATGAACCTTTTACTTATATTATTAAATGAATCAGCGCAAATTCCTTGACACTTTAATTCTCTTTATCTCTTTCCTGCGCTCCCAGTAATTAAAATACCGAATCATTTCGAACTTCTTTCTCCTTTTTAAGGAATATGTTTTCATATTTATTGGAGAAAACACAGCGACATACAGCCAGAAACAAGAGACTATTGGATGACTTTGGCTTTTCAAGTTCAATTAATTTAAATGGGGAATGACAGGGGACTACTTTGCCAGTTGAAGGTGGGCCATTTGCTTTCTTCCATCCAGGAATGGGCACAATTGTAAATCTCTTGCTGCAATATTAACTTTTCAAAGGCCTTAAAAGGAATGAAGCATTCCCAAAAACATATCATTAAGCCATTAGATGCTTGCTTACAATATCATTCCCACATCTGTCGTAACAATTTCATTTCACTCTTCACTTCATTTCTATCAATGATAGACAGAATGACTAACTGGAATAATTTGAAAATGAATGTACGAATGAATAAATAGAAGACCGATTGAGGAATATATACTGTATAAAACATGAAATACATTTCAGATTCAATAACATGTCTATCTTGAGGCTCGCTCAAAAAATTTCAAAGTGATGTTTAAATTAGTGAATTTTATTTTAAATTTCGTTACTGATCAAAAAAGATAAAAATAGCTACAAAAAAAAAAAAAAAAAAAAAAAAAAAATTGGAACAATAACACTACGATTAATCTTAGAAAAAAGATATTATAAAGAAAAATTCAAGATTCTGTTGTTTTACATAAAAAGACTAACGAATTTTATGATCTGTTCAAATCCAATAATATATTAAATTTATTTAAATCTAACTAATTTGCAATAAAATAGTTTTCCTTTAAATTTGGGCAAGCAGTAACGACATATGTAATGAGGAATGTGTCATTTGTATATTTTTTCCTATTGAAATGCCTCGTTTCACAAGAATATTTGTAGTCCTTATTTCTCATTCAAAATCACAAAATGTAATCACAAAGATTTTAAATTTTTTTTTTCTAATTGCATTGCCTGATATTCTCGTCAGTATCACTTATTTCTCATTCTCAGTCTTTTTTTGTATTTTCTGATCAATTTGCATATATGTTTTTCTTATTTCATCATTTACCCAGCAATACAATTTAATTTCTCACAGTTCAGGATGCCACCTTCTGTGATTTTTAGGCGGAAATACTGATTTTACCGCACTTATTGTTGTCATTACTAATGTCATCACTGATACAGCCATTAATTCATACTCACATTTAAATTAGTAGCTCAAAACTCTCTTTTATTCGCGATGGAATTAGATCTATGAGAATTTGCTAGACTTTCTCTTAATGCACGTCGATCCTACAAGTCATTAATGACACTCACAATTCGATAGTTAATTTTTTGAATCAAGAAAACATCCATCACTGGGCAGTTGTGAGTTAGAAAGCTAGAAAGTTTCTAGTAGTGTCATGCAAAGATCTAGTCATAAATTTAAAATTCGAAAACTGGAACTGTAAGAAAAGTATGGTAGAGGTGGAAAATGTGAAACTTTTATTACTGGATGAGGGATTGCTAAAATTAAACTGATGAGCGGTCAAATTTAGTATTTAGTATATTTCAATTTGAAGTGTTTACAGGAAGAAATTCACAGCATTTTATTTTTGAGTTTGGTACTACTTTAAAACCAAAAGTATGCTTCATCCACTTGGAAAAACAAATGAAACTATGAAAAGCTTTTGATTATTGCAAGCAAAGAAAAGAGATACATTAGTGATAAGAAAGGGGAAAGAGAAGGATATATAGAGAAAAGGTAGAATCAAGGCACTTAAATCTTCTGAGAGTCAATGACTCACTCAGTACATTTAAATCTTCCTTCATGACCTATAATTATTATGAACAATGGAATATGCAGTCGAGGGCAGGTAAGTTGATATGATTATCATTTATCAGGAAAAAATGCAAGCATGATATAAAAAAAGTGGATTTAGAAAGTGTACCATTAGTGCAATTCCTTCCTCAACTATCCGGTACTCTACAAAAAGAAAACCAAAGATTTCTTCGATATAAAACACAATACTAAAGTATTGGTAACAAAATACCTATCATGGCATTAATAAGTCAATTGTAATATTTGAAATCATTTCATAAACAGTAGACTCAATGGCATTCATATCGGCAGGTCATGGAATCAGTACTTTTCTTGAATATTAATGTTCACAAGAGATAATTCCCTTCACCATTTTCAGTGCCTTATTTAATCAAAATTCATGAATATCTTATGACCACATTTCAATATTTCCAGGACAGTTGACAAAGTTTGACAACCAATAGCTTGACAAAGTTTGACAACCAATAGCATTGTCCCATGAATCGATCCATTTGAAAATATAGGTGGTCGTTCCAGTTAGATATCTCAACAAATACAACTATACAATTATTAATCCCACCCATTTACATTTTTGATACATACTTAGTAACTGTTTTCTATTTCTATTTTGATTTTTAAAAGAATGACAAAGTTTTAAAAATGTTCATTCGATTAAAGAAATCTCGAGAGAGAAAAGTGAGAAAGTTTTCATAGAGCTTCTTTCCTCTCTATGAGAGAAAGGATAATGAGAAGAGATGACGACCAACTCGACACAATCGAAACTTGATTCATCGTTTTTGCGCAAGTCTGTAAAACATAAATGCGCACTCACTCCCTTTCAGGAACGGAAAAGTTGTAACAAAACAACACAACGGTGCGCAAAAGTTTTCAATTTTAAGAGAAAATGAAACAATGCAACTGAACATACTTGTGCTATTTGTCAATGCAATTTATAAGATTATTAAAGTTTTTAAACAATATATTCATATTGTTGGACCGTTAAACTTCAAGTTGTTTCATTATTTGCTTCAAAGATAGTTGTTTTGATTCAGTACTTTCTAAGCAAAAAGTAGCCTTCAGTAAAATTTTTAAACTTAAATACACCTCACTTTCCATATTCACCAATTATCATTTCTATTTGTTAGTTCAAATTTCAACAATTTTGTAAATTGTAAAATTGTTTGCTTGGAAAAATTGCCTACCTCAATTCAGGCTAAGCTGATGAGAATATACAGAAAATAAACATATAATGTATTAATGCATATTGAAAATTTTCTCATTACTATTTCTTAAATTCAGAGAACCAGTCATGTCACTTAGCATTCTGATTTCAAATTCATACTCAATTTATGCTTACTTTGAAGACTATTACAGTTATTTACTAAAAAATTCAAATCCAAAGAAGCTTTTCTTTTTTGTTGTTAATAATATTCCTAACATGAGAAAATGTATGGAAAATGATTTTCAGTCGTAGTCTGTGCAAAACTTATGGAGAAATATAGAAATATGAATAAAAGTTGAAAGTTTTGAAATTCCTGAAAGGTTCATTGGAAGTGATGAGCTTTATAGAAGTGAATAAAAAATGATACTTTTTACTCCGTGTCCCTCCGATTTAAATCAGTCTTAGAGTTGATAAAATGATTATATCATTGGAGGGTAGTGGACTGTGATAACCATATCTGACGTTATCAAAAAACCATTAATTCAAGCGAGTCATACATAACCAAAGTCTCTACAGTGTAATTATTAGTCAAATGTTTGTCAACAAAAAGCAATCATTATTTTACTTTCATATCGATAATTTTGTTAATTTGCTCTTTTAACAAAGCAATGAATTCATATTTACTTCCTTTTCTCATAATATTTCGTCTAGAAAAGATTGTGAAAAAATTAATGGCATTGATGACTAGTTGAATCTTTTATTGTTTACCATTCGTGCTAATCCAACGGTAGATGGGTAGGCAAATTTAGACAGCAATAAGGAAGTATTTGTGAATCGTAAAAGTAAACAAGTTTAAATAATACATTAAAAGGTTGAAGTAATATATTTTGTAGAATTTGAATGAGTCATTTACAGTTTTCCAAAAATAAGAAAGAGTTTAATGTTAATGAAAATATGAATGAAAAAAAAATAATAATAATAATAAGCAAAAGAGTCACATCGTACAATTTTTTAATTTAAATAGACATAACGTTATGAAGTTATGCTTTCACTTGTCAATCTAATAGATCTTACAAATGACCAGAGCAACTCTTTCAAGTCTGCTTTTCAGCTCCGCGTCCCTCCAACTTCATTAAAGTTCATTATTCATTTTCTCAGTCATTGTAATACACAAAATCTATTTCGTGACCTAAACTGTTTTAACTGGAGGGGAGGAGGTGGAGTTCATTAATCATTAACTAAGGTATTGGTAAAGTGGAAAAGAGGTAGGTAAACAAGTTGATTCCCTGTAGATTACGATTGGTATATTTATACTGCATAATTCTAAGGAAGAAACCGGGCAGTATTTAGTTACCCGGCACTACCTCACTCTCGACTTCTTTAATAAATTCGCACTTGTTCCTCACGTTTCCAGCGTTATTTAAAACTCAGCACACCTATTTATACTTGGATAAAATTTTAATACCTCAATTCGAAATGCTTTGTTACTCAACAGCTGTGCTTTTTCTTCTTGTAATACTTACGTTATTATCAGGTTATTACTCTTTCCATTATTTTACTTAAACCTTATAAATTTTATTAAAATTATGAATCGTGACGGCAAAACTTGTTAAATAATAAGTAATAAATTGTATAAAATATCGGAACATCAAAAATATTCATCGTCATATTTGCATGGTATCATCGGCCCACTTTCAAAAATTATTAGAAGGGAGAGTTCATTTTCATATCTGCATAATTAGATTAAAACAATATACTTAGTTTTTAAAGTATTTTGTATTTCACTTTACAGAAGTTACGCTGCATTGACTGCAACACTTTTGCATTTCTAAAATTCGGGTTTACATCTATAAGAGTGTTTCGAAAATGTGAAAATTCATTTATTCATATTCAAAAAAGATGTATCCATTTCATCATTCTTTTCAAAAGCATTTATTCAACATTTAAAAAATGAATCATTTTTAGTTAATGGAGAATACTCAATAGGTGATAAAACAGATCATTTAAAGAAGTGGATTGAAACAAATCGTAATTCTTTCCCACAACCTATAACCGATGATTTAATCTCATCTATATCCGGCAACAGTGATATCGCTACAGCTATATTCAAAATATTTGGCTTTGGTTCAGAACCGAAAATTTCAGAAGCAAAATTCACGGAAACAACCGGTTCGCCTATCAGTTCACGTAATGGAATTAAAGTTGCTGACAGAGAAGGCACGATTAAAACTTTTGACTTGATTATGAAATTTTAAAATTTAATCATCTAAACAAATATTTTATTTCGTGTGCATTACATATTCAATTCTCTTCATCGATCTCTTAGTTCCTAGTTAAGTACTTTTTGTTTATAACTTTTAGTTTGAGTATTC